GGTTAGGTTTAGGGTTAGGTTACGGGTTACGTTAGGTTAAGGGTTAGGTTTAGGGTTAGGTTTGGGGGGGTTAGGTTTAGATTTACGCATTAATTTTAACTTTACCGCTCACAGCGTGTTTTCGTCGCGCTGTGATGACATCACGTACGCGCTTTCGTCAAGCGCGCTTTAGTATACCGCGGTTTTGTGGTAGAACCGTCCAGAACTACTGTACTTCTCTACATTGCTTTCCCTAGGAAAGGTTGTGTTTAGGGATTTGCCCCCACCCCACCCCTGCTGCAAAATTGAAGCCTGTGTCTGCAGCCCAGCTTTTTATCAGCCAAAATTGCAGAATCCCATGTAATGACAGTCACATTTCAAGTGAAATCCTAAGGTGGAAAGAGTGCAAAAATATGCACTTTATGAGTTTTGTTGTCCATGTTGTACATTTAATATCCAGTTACTTATTAAATTTAAATTAAATTTATGTGCTGCCCATTTTGCTATCCCAAACAACTCTGGGCAGCTAACTAATCAACTTATGAATCAAAAAAGGTGGTGCGCATGGGTTCTCTTTTAAAGAAGATGTTACACACTGCTAGGAGTGCAGCTGTTGTGTCAAGATGGTGACGTTCATTTTAACACAAAGCTTCCTGGCATGGTTTAAATTTCTGGTGCTTTTTCTGTCCTTTTATATACCCCTCTATGGGGACTCTGCTGAAGCAAGGAGAAAGAAAGGAGATAATAGAGAGAAAGCAGAAACTCGCATGATGTTAAACTGTTATGTGTTATCATAAAAGAGGACCAGACCTGGGGCACTTACATTGCAGCACTGGTCAAAAGGGCCCAGCAGAGACCCGAGACTTCTCAGGAAACAACAACTGAATGAAAAACTGGTGGTCACCTTCTATCGCTGCACCATCAAGAGTATTTTAACTTACTGCATCTGTGTATGGTTTGCCAATTGCACAGTGGCAGATAGGCCAGCACTCCAGAGGGTCAACATCATTGCTGAAAGGATCATCAGTTTCCCTCTCCCCCAGTGATGAAATTCAATTTTTTTTTTACCACCAATTCTGTGGGTGTGACATGGTGGGCATGGCAAGAGAAGGATATTGCAAAATCTTAATTTCCTCTCCACTCTGGGGCCAATCAGAACTACTTAAAATTTCCGCTACAGGTTCTCCAGAATCTGTCAGAACGTGCTGAATTTCAGCCCGCTCGCCCCTCTTTGGAAGAGTTTTATAGCTCCTGCTGCCTTAAGAAACTTCCATCTCATCCTGGGCACCCTTTTTTTGAACTATTACCATCTGGCAGACGGTACAGGATAATAAAAACAAGGGCAAACAGGCTGAAAAACAGCTTCTATCCCAGGGCAGTAACTATATTGAATTCTATGGTATAGTGCAATGTTGGGTTTCCAATTTCAATTATATAGAAAGTAAAGTTTGTTTTTTTATTTTTATAGTTATAATGTACACCGAAGATAGCATTTAATTTCGTTGTACCATGTGCAATGACAATAAACTAAACTGGAGGAAGGAAGGCTTCTTTCGAACTCGTTTCCCTAAAATTCCAACCTGTTGCAGAAAAGGCAGGGAGTGCTCTGAGAAGGTCCCTCCATCCCGGCGCTGGGATCGTCGGCACCATCCTCCTCTTCCTCCTCCCAAGCGTCTTCATTCTCGCTATCCGACAAACAAAGGCTGGAGCCACTTTGTGCCGGTCCCTCCGGTTCGCCTGCCGTAGCGAGAGACAAAAGGGGGGGATGAACCAGAGCTCAATCTGGTCAGAAATCTGCAGAAAAGGAAGAGGGCCGAAGGGGGGAAACACGTACCGATCTCCGCAGATTTCCCGGCACTCATAACTCTGCAACCTGTTAAAAGTTCGAACCCTTCGGCGAAAGTTCCCACGACAACAACACACAGACCAGACTCTTCCCACGTGGAGCGAGAGGCTGATCCTCACTTCCGGGTTAAGTGTCAGGTTTCCGACCAATAGGAGAGGAAAAGAGAGGAGGAGACGGGGAATGCGCACGACTACGGTGACTTTAGGGGGCCAAATTTCACGGTAGGGACGGAGAGCGTACGCGTAAACTATAGGAGCGTGCATGAGTTGGAACGTTGGGTTAGCGCGGAGATGCTCTGGCTTTTTAAAAGGAGGGTGCAAGAAACAGTGGAGTGAGTAGCGGTAGTAATTAGAATGATTTCTGGAACTATGAAGACGTACCAAACTTTTTCTTGGGAGTTGATTGTATTTTTGCTCCAAACACGTAATGCAAGTTTTTAGAGACCGGAATAGATTTGTAATAAGCTCCCGTTTCCTTCCCATCCCCCGACAACAATCCCATGGACATAATTCTTATATATATAATCTTGATAAACTACCTTGTTCATAAAGCATTTGGTTTGGATTCATTGCAAAAGTCCAAGTCAGCTGCAGGATTTTTATAAATAGATCATTTTAACCTGTATGCAACTTTCACTAGGCTTTTTAAAATTTATAGATTCGTGAATTAACCCTCCCAGAGTCAATTCCATAGCCAGTTCACACTTGATAAGTAAAATAATTAGGTGATCTTGTCTCAGAGTAGAAAAAGGTAATTTTTAAAATGACAATTGAATTTACAATACAATTTGCAGTCATATGATTAGAAATGTTACCTGCAGAAAAAAAGCCTATAAAAGTTTTTTTTTTAATTGCTAAAATATATTTGAAGAAGGTAGGACTTTTTTATTGGTCAGTGGAATCGGTAGAATGTTGATTTTCAATAATTTGCTTACATAAATATTTCCAGGCAAGTTGATAACTGCCATGTATAGCAATATTCCAATATAATGTATTCCAATTATTATGGTACTTTTTGGTTTTGATACTGTTACTTCCTCCTGCCTATGTATAAACAGTTGCCATGTTAGTTTTGTTGCATGACATGGTTAAGCTTTGTTATCTTAGCTAATCATTATTCAACCCAATTTTGTGAGTTCACATGATAAACTGAACCATAAACCAACCACATAGTGTGCATTTAAAGCAGTTTGCTAGACTAGTGTCTCATACAAATGTAGTGGCAGAAAAACATAAAATCTAATTGTTCTTCAAATGACAACTGCAAGTGCAAACTTTCTAAAGAATATGAGACAGAAACTCACTATAGTATTAATATTTATGTTCACTCTTATTATTGCTTCTGTATACCATAAATACTTACAAATCTGAGATTCATTTTAACACCATTTGTTTCTTTCAATAATCAAATCTCAAATTTTCAGAGTCTGAGTTATATTTTCTTCAAGCCTTTCAACTTTGACCCCACATTTAAAAATAACTATTTCAGAAAAGTCATGCTTCTGTTGGGTACCACAAAATATTTGTACAAAATCATAGAATGGCAGAAATATTAGAAGCTTTTCTTATTGAAAACAGATATTTGCTAGGCTTTCTGATTCTGTAATTGCAAATGATTGAATTCTAATACCATACTATGAAATATAAGAGGAATAGCAATCAGCAGCAAATGCGTTCAGTGATGTTTCTTCATGGATAAACGGCTATCCACCTTAGGCTTATAATACCTTTTGAAAAAAAATACTTGTTGTGACATGATTGTGATTTTTTTTTAAATAATCCTTGCAGGACCTCTCTTTAATTGTTCTTCTAAACTTATGGAATCTGTTTTTACTATTGGATGTGAAAACAGATATTAGAGAACAACATTTCTTAGCGTTGGTTCTAAAGATGCTTGGAATTACAACTCTCTGAATTTACACAGCAATGAAGCAAGACAAGGTGGTTTGTGTATATCTGAGTGTGTAATGTTTGCATTTTCTATTTACATTTGACTGATTAAGTGTGGGAGGATCTATGTTTTAATTGAGATTTGAGATCTTGTTTTTCATCTTCAACGTAGCATTTCTAGTTTGCAAAGTGTAGCTGAGCACAGCAAACTGTACTTGCTGCTACTTAGTTATTGTCTGATGTTTTTAAATCCATGGTTAGTATATCTATATTTTCTGCTTTGTTTTGTGTTGTCCGAGATTAGGTAAAAGATGACTTTTATAACACAAGTCTACTGTGGTATCCTGCTGGACCAACGTGTAACAGAGGTATCTGAGGAACTTATACAGGTAGCCCTCGGCTTACAACAGCTCATTTAATGACCATTCAAAGTTACAACAGCACTGAAAAATGTGACTTATGACCATTTTTCACACTTATAAACTTTGCAGTATCCCCATAATCTTGTCATAAAAATTCAAATGCCAGCAACTGGTTCATACTTATAACTGTTGCTGCATCCCAAGGTCATGTGATCACCTTTTGTGACCTTTTGACAAGCAAAGTCAATGGCAAAGTCAGATTCAATTAACAACTGGTTTATTAACTTATCAATTGCACTGATTCACTTAACTATGGCAAGAAAGATCATAAAAGGGGGCAAAACTCACTTAACAGAAACTTTAAGCTCCATTGTTGTTGTAAATCGAGGACTACCTGTAATCCACCTTCCTTGTTCTTCTTTAGTTAAACATTTCATCAAGAAACATGCACACAATATAGGAGATCTATATTATATCCATTCTACCATACGAAAGGCTGGAGGCCAAAGAATTGAGGCTTTTGAACTATGGTGCTGGAGAAGACTCCTGCGAGTTCCTTGGACTGCAAGGCAATCAAACTGGTCAGTCCTAGAGGAGATCAACNCCCTTCTTTTCCTTTTGTAGCCTTAAGTTTAATAACCTTTTGAAAATACAAAAAGAGAACAATACAATATGTGAAAATAAACTTACTATGTTTTTGAACCATCATCTCAATACTGAACCCATGGTCTGAGGTACAATGGCAAAAACTATCTTCAGCTGAACTGAAAAATCTTAGAAAAAAAGCAATATTTTTAGAATAGATATACACCAATTTTATACTTTTAAAATGTAGGCATGAACAACATAACATAGAAATAGATCCCAATATCTAATTATGGCACTATGAAAGACATAATTCAGAGCATGTATTAAAGAATAAGCAATATGTTTCTGAAGTATCAGGTGAAAAAAATGAAGTGACAAATTGATGTTAGAAACATCTCATGATACTGTACAAAGAAAATAATATCCCTAAAAGAAAGGCAGCAAGGATGGTAACAAAAGGATTATGGTAGTCAGATGTGAAAATTAACAATGATTAAATGCAAAAGAAATTCAGTATCTGAAAGACAGGAAATACATGTAGTAAAGACTGAAAACTACTGTGACTAAAGTATTCAAGTCTTCTATTGAATACTGTGTCAGAGGCACTGGGTCATTCAGTTCTCGACTTACAACAGTTCATTTAGTGGCCATTCAAAGCTACAATGGCACCGAAAAAAAGTGATTTATGACTTTTTTCACACTTACAACCATTGCAGCATTCCCATGGTCTTGTGATCAAAATTTGGGTGCTGGGCATCTAGTCCGCGGTTGCAGTGACCACTTTTTGTGACCTTCTGATGAGCAAAGTCAGTGGGGAAGCCAGATTCATTTAACCATGGTTATTACTAACTTAACAACCACAGTGATTCACTTAACTGTGGCAAGAAAGATTGTAAAATGGGGCAGAATTCCCTTAACAAATGTCTCACCTAGCAACAGAAATTCTGAACTCAATTGTGGTTGTGAGTCCAGAACCCGTGGCACGACAAAACCGCGGTCCACTAAAGTGCGCCCGATTAAAGCGCGTACCTGACGTCATCAGCAGCGCGAC